AAAATGTCTGTGCTCTATTAGGCTTCTAAGTCAATGTCCATGGCCAAGTCTGGACCTCAGCAGCCCTTGGAAGCATGTGAGCAGGTCAAGACAGGTGCTTCCATTCATTTGATCTCTCCCCAAGTGTATTCTCTCTTCTGCCCAGTATCTCTCTAGTACATTTTTGCATCTGTCTGAAGCCTGCACACATGATAATTTTTAATCATTTTTCTAACCATATTTTCCCTGAGATTTAGGAATGACAGTCTCCTGGAGAGAGGACAGTGCATGACTTTTTTTTTTTTTTTCCTATTCTTACAAAATATGTTGTTAGTTTTGAATAGTCACTTAAAATAGGTTCTCACTTCAGTCTCTTTTTTTTTTTCTTTCTAAATAAAGCCTGAGAATTTGCTTTTAGCTAGCAAATCCAAGGGAGCAGCTGTGAAACTGGCAGACTTTGGCTTAGCCATAGAAGTTCAAGGAGACCAGCAGGCGTGGTTTGGTGAGTAGGGCCTCTCTCTACTTCATGCTGCTTGTTCTCTTCTGGCTCATTGTAGCCCACTTCCCAGCCAAAATAAGACAGAAATGTTGCCTCTAACAACAACCTGACTAAATTTGAAGACATTAGATCTTCATAAGCACTTAATTTTACTGACATTAAAGGGTATATGATCTAGAAGTAATTTAAGGGAAAATATTAATATGAGAACAGTAACACATTGACTTTTTCTTAAGGGATGAGTGAGAAAATGAATCCTGTACCAAGAATTAATGGGGAGGGTTGCAGTGTTCAAAAAGGACTTATTTTTCATTTCAGAAGAAATTTAGTGTTCACACAGAACCTTACTTGATGCCAAAAACTGCTGTATAAATAGGTACTCAGGAAATATGGACTATTTCACATATTTTTTTTGATTAAGAAATTAAGGTTCTAAAAATATTATGTGTGTATGTGTGTGTTTACCTTAATTATCTTCTGTTCTTTAAACTTCCAGTTTCCTCTCTAAAATTTTGATAATTTTGAAATTTCTATATGATGAAATTTTGTTTACAGTTTGTTTACAGTTAAGAAAGAAATTAACTGTGAGTTTAAATTAGAGCATTTCTAACCAGGCTTGTGGATTGTTTTAATATTTATCCTATCAGGTTATTTTATTCACTTTTTTTTATGCCTCCGTTTTTGCCGCTTCTCAGTACTGACCCAGTTTTTCATGTAATGTCCCAAAATATAACCTCTCCCCAAGCCTCAGTCTTACTTTTCTGACTTTCAATGTATTGAGGTTAGGTTATTTTTTAAATGATTTTTTTCACTTCTCATTGCTTTTTCGCTGAACAACAACAGAGCACTCAAAAAAATGCTTATTCCTTTTGTTTTACATGCAGACCCTCTCTGTGTTTTCCTAAAGATAAGGTGTGCACAGAGCTTCCAGGATTCACTCTGTCTCTAATCTGTCCCAGCTAGTAAGTGGGAATGGATGACATGGCAGCCTTCTCCCATCTCCTCTGCCAGCAGCTTAATTTAGGACCTCATTTTCTGCTTCCTGTCCTGTTTCAGTAGTACCTGACTGTTACCCTTGTCCGTGAGTCCTCCTAAGCTTAATACCATCATTTGCATAAAGTCTCTCCTCACCCACCAGATAAATTTAGTATCTCCAAATTTGGCATTTGGTTTGTCATATTTTGACATATGAATAAGTTTGTTCCTGTTAATTGCAAACTCAGAGAAAGTAAGACCTAGAATAAGTACTGTAAATTGGAGATACAGTCACATCTTTGTATCCTGGGTAAGAACATGGTTGACACAGATAAAGAATATATAGTAATTTGGAGTTGGGGTCCAACAGGAAGTAGCAGGGCAATCGCAGAGATGGACTGAGTAATTAATGGGGATGCTTGAATTAAGCATGAGGCCCTGCCCCCTCAAGATGCTGACACTTCCATATCAATAACTATTTACCATGCAGTGTGGGAGCATCTTAAAAGAAGCATGCATGAAGTGCTGTGGAGCACAAGAGAGGAAGTCTGAAATTCTGCCTGTGGGGAAAGTTTCAGTGATTGGTGTGCTTTTCTGCCTCCCTAATGGGTGAATGAGAATTTGTTCACTAACATAAAGGCCATACAGAGGGATCAGCACATACAAAATCTCAGAGGCATGAAACTATTGTTTCTATTTAAGGAATAACAAGAAATTTGGTATAGTAAAGTATAAAGTATACTGGGATGAGTGGTAGTTAATGAGGTGGGAAAGGATTTTATGTGCTTTTGAAGGATTTGGCTTTTATCCTAGAAGTTTCAAGGATCTGGTGAAAAATTTTAAGAAGGGAAGGACATAATTGGGTTTATGTTACGTAATGATGTTGTGGGTAACAATGTGGAGGGTGGCTTAAGGATACTTAGCCTCAAGGCAAGGGACCAGTTAGGCTAATGCAGGAGGTCAAACTATGCCTGGTGACAGCTTGAACTAATGAGTACGCAGAAACAAGTTCCAGATACCATGCAAAACAGACAGGGTCTCTGAACTCTAAGGAAATCTGTTTAGAGGAAATCAAAACCCTAGAGGTTGGACTTTAGCCCCATCTAGAGAAAACTGGGAACCTGTTTCACAAGACTCCAGGTATGAAGCAGGATACCAAAATAGGGACTTAGATTTAGGCTAAGGGATGTAATTGTCAGAACTGGGTACAAGGTGATGATTAGATATCAGGAACAAGACAAGCCCTATTATCAGAGCTGAGGCTGCAAATTAACATCAGTAATTTGGCTTGGTGCTTGCAAGAATGATATTATTGAGCTCCTTAAATCTCCCCTGTTTTTGAGCTCTATGTTTTATCTCTTGTGCTCTGAGCTGAGGACAGAATTGAGTGTAGTGCAAAAAACTCCGCTTTTTGAACTAGAATACCCAAGCTTATATCCTGTGGTTCTTAATAGCTGTATGATATTGGGCAAGTCACTTTAACTCTGTGAGGTCCATTGTCCTCTTTGTAAGCAGTTATAATAAACACTTCCTTTCAAGGAACATACCTGTGCTACAAAAGATGTTGAATAAGTTTTCAAAACCATCTTGGCAGGGAACACAATGTCACAGTTCTTTGCCTACTTAGTGACAGTTGTTGAGCAAATCCATGAGTGGAAAAACCAAATACCAAGTTAGTGAAAGCAATAGCATCCAAATAAAAGTACACAAATTTCAAATTGTGATCTGGTTTATTTCTAAAAGTGATCTGGTTCCAGAGAAAGAATGACAGATTGGGAATAAAATCCCCATTTCTTCTTCTGTATGATTCTACGACAGTTAAGTTCTTGCTAGGGTATCTATTAGAGTAATGACTTTTAAGAGGTGCATTTTAAGTCCTAAGAAAATTCAGCATTTCAACAAGTGTAGGAAAAAAACATAGTTTATAAGCTTAAGCGAAAACACAAGTTTTTTTTTCTTTTTTTTTTCTTTAGCATATTTTCTGCTTATTCTACTCAAGTTCAAGTGAATCCTCATTGTAACCTACCTGAGAAGGAGGCATGTGGTGTATATAATATATCTTGTGGGTGTTCTACTAGATATATCATAAATTTTAAAGTAAAAGCATGTTTTAGTATGAACGACTTGTTTCGATATTTATTCAGTATTACCTACCAGCATAGTCTCGTGTATTTGATTAATTTTATCTTTTAAAATGTATTATCAGTGTTAGGCAGGGAGTCTTTTTGTTTTAATAAAATAAATTATTTTAATTTTAAGAAAAGAGCAGAACTCTTTATTTTGTGCAATGCAAGGAGTTCAGGCTTTTGCACAATTTTATTTTAAGAGTTCTTCTATAAATAAAAACGAGACAAGGCTTATAGAAGCTGTTTATTGCGTTTTTTCAATGCTCATTTTCAAGCCTAAATGTTTTTCTCATGATAATTTCTTCTGTCTTCTTAGCCCCGATTTATTTGAGCACTAGCCAAAATGCTAGAAGTAACACCTTGTGTCACTACATTTGTTAAGATGGCTAGAAAATTTACCAAAGCAAAATATCCAAATACAGTCCATTTTCTCCTGTGGGATTGGAAGTGCTATTTACAATATATCTCTAGTTCTTTGTTGCTGTTAGGGCAAAAAAGTATAACTACCACCATCTTGCTTCATGTAAGAATTGTTTTACTTGGTTGCTGTTATGTCTCTTTTTCTAAATATTAAGGTGTTTTTTTTTAATGCAATGGATACATTTCCAACAGTAAGTAATTCTGTATTTGTTTTGGTATATTCTGATACTCCTATTGGTTTTTCAGAGTGAGAAAAACATACTATCTCTAAAGAAGGCAAGCTCTCATTAATTTCCTTGCTAATAACATACATCTTGAAAAACAAGATTCTTATGAGTTTAATCTCCTGCTAAAGAAGGTTTTATCCATTTTACCCTCAGTATTTTGGTATTCATGAGAACACATTGCACAGTACACGGTTCCTTAATGTTTGTGCATTTAGATTATACAGTAAAACCTTGGTTTGTGAGCATAATTTGTTCCAGAAACATGCTTGTAATCCAAAGCACTTGTATATCAAAGTGAATTTCCCAATAAGAAATAATGGAAACTCAGATGATTTGTTCCACAACCCAAAAATATTCATATAAAAATGATTACAATACTGGAATATAATACAAAATGTAATGAAAAATAAACAACCTGAACCTATCTTTGAAAACCTTTGTGACTGGTGTGAAGCAAACAAAAGAGAGGAGGGTTATTGTTTAGGACCACTTTCACTATCACTAACAGAATAACTACTATCTATTAGCTTAATGGAATCTTGTTCTGCATGGGGGCCATTGTATGTGCTAATACGGATGTTGAGTACAGTACAGTATTAATCAACTCTTGTCATACACCATATTTAATGTAACTGGCAATAAAGCAGCAGAGGAAAGGGTCTATATCTGCAGGCAGCCTGACCTAGAATGAAGCAAAGCATTCCTAAGCTTCCTCTTGTCTAGAAAAGCAAGGGACTGTCCACAGGTGCTTTGAAGTGACAAATAATACACTACCGTCAGTTATGGGCACCTTCCAACATTCTGAAGAATCACTGATATCTGCCAAACACAACAGCCTGAGACCAAGCATCCAAGCGACGATCACCCATAGTCCTGCAATGAGAGAGAGAGAGAGAGAACCATTGGCTCAGTTGTGATCATGTGACATTCGGCATCACATCTTACTTGTATTGCAAGACATCGCTCATTTATCAAGTTAAAATTTATTAGAAATGTTTGCTCATCTTGCAGAACACTTGCAGAACAAGTTACTTGCAATCCAAGGTTTTACTGTACTTCAGTATTATTAGGAGTAAGGACCCCACTGACTGCTCAAATGATAACTATACCAAATAAGAATGAATGTGATGGTGTTTTCTTACCATTTCAGTCTCCGGAAAAGGTTTGTAATAATTTACATTTAAAATGATCTTTTCATTTCTAAATCACATGGTGACTTAACTTTTATACCTAGATAAAATATTATTAATATTTCCTCCTCTAGGAAAGGTATTCTACTAAGATATGTAAGACACACATTAAAGTTTACTGATGCTAGATAGGAGGTTATAGATTGTATATAAAAGAATACTCGACATTTAGAGTAAGGAAGGACCACTGAGAATTATAGTTAGCCAAAGATATCACTAAGGTGGAAATAACTCATAGCCCACCCTTTGTTAGAGAAGATGTAGAGATAGAAATTGAGGCTTTAAGGAACAGAAAAAGTAACATCAAGGGCAAGAATGAGAAGTCTGTTTTCAAGAGACCTTAAAGAGATTAATCAGATCAAATGCTGAGGAGCAGAAAGAAATCATGTTGGGTAAATAAAGGGGAACTGAGTGATAAAGGATCTTAGGTGTAGGCTAGGACCTTAGTCTTTAACCTGGACTTTGGCATCAGTTTCTCATTGGGTTCCTTTGTCTGTGTCTCAACTTGGGAGAGGTTGGAATGAGAGAGAGCAGGTGTGGCATACCAGAAGTTCTTTAGAACTCTTGTGCCCAGGCCTACCTTGGAATTAGCTGACTGACATCACTCCTTAAGGTAATCCTCAAACTTCAGTTAATGGAACTGCCATTATTCAGGAATTCTTCTACCTCACAACTGTCAAGCAAATGCTTCTTTGAAATAAAGTTTGAAGAAGAGGTAGATCTGTTGTGGTCCATGTAAAGCTTAAACTACAATACAGGGCTTTTTTTTTGGGAGTCCCTTCACACTGTCCATTCCATCTTCCTCCACTACAAAGAAAAGGAAAAGTAATACAAGGGGAAGGGGATTAAAATCCCCAGCCCTTTGCCTTACTTTCTAAAGTAATTTATTTCAGAAATAACCATGCCATTTATACACACACACACACACACACACACACACACACACTTGTTTTTATATCTTTGTATACATTGTTTGTACTTAATAGCTTTGAAGATGGGAAGAAAAAGCTCCGTTCCACAGAATTTTGCATCCCAGTAAATATATAATGAGCTTCCTCAGTGATTTGTGGTTAGAGGAATTCCTGATTACATATCCTTGTAAAGAAATGTTTTGTTTTTATGTGTGCCTTTAAATAAAACTGCCAAATCAGAATAGTTATTTTTAGTCTTTTTGAAAGTAAGTATTTTTATTTGAAACCTATTATTTTCAGAAATAAGAAAAATGTTACTCTAGGTTCTAGCTATACATTGATTGTTATTTAAGCGTACCTTATTGGAGTTTACATTGATTTATACAATAATCAAACTTTTTTCTGCCATCTAGTTTCTCTTACCACATCTCTCTCAAAATTCTAGTTGATACTTGCTCAATAGTAATTCATTCAAATGTTCCTGAATCCTTTAAATTCACAGTTATGAGTACACACTGACTATTTATTAGTACACTGTGATCTCTTTGATATATTTCGGGCTTATTTCTTTTAGTGAATTCTTAAACTTCTCTCAGCCCCATCCTCACCTCATAGACTACCTCAATTTCCAAAAATATTTACTTGGCATCTATGTTTTGTGTCCTTCTTTTTTATAGGTGAATGCTTCTCATAATAAAATTACGTAGATATCATGATAACTATCATCTTTTGTCAGGTTCTAACCCTATCTTCAAATCTCTCCTCATTTCTTTTCAGGTATAGAGGAGGAAAGACTTTGTCTTTTCCCTCTTAGGTCTGTGGCGGGGGCCTGTGAGTTGAACTGACAAAAGACTGATGAACAGGAGAAAAGCATACAATTTGTTTTAATGTTAATATTTTAATGCCTTTCTAGAGAATAAATGAAGACCTTAGAGAAGGCTAGACCCAAGGAATTATATCCCATTTTAACAAAAAGTGATAAATTGTGGAGATTTGACAAGACAAAGAAAAAAGGGTTTGGGCTAGGGGCATTAAACTGTGGGGGAATAATGAGGAAATACCTAGAGAAACTAATGGAAGAGCAAGGCTATTTTACTAAGGTTGGTTTGTGTAGATCCATCTTGGCACCAACTCCCATGCCAAGAATGTTCTCTTCCTGGCACAGGGAGGACACCTTTTCCACAAGAAATGTATGCCCTACTTTTAGGTAGAAAGGAGGAGATTAAAGAGCCTGTCATACATCTGCTAATTCTCAGTTGCCTTCAGTTAAAAATAATCAGTATGCCGCCGTGGCATATTTTAGGGTAGTGTGTTCTTATCTTTCACAGGTTTTGTTTCAGTTCTGACATAAGTACGTGAGAATAAGAATTGCTAACCGAGTAGACTTAAGTATACGGGCTGACTGTATAGCACAATAAAGTAGCCTTCATGTCTGGAAATAAATGTACTTTTTCCAATAAGCTACCAAGCAGATTAGTGTTGATACTACTATAGAGAGAAACCAGTCTGCGTTATTTTCATCTTCTGAGAGCCTTATTTTATTTTGACAAACATATTAGAAGGTTAAAAGGTCCTCCAAATGTTTTATTCCTTAGTTTCCCATATCATATTGGTTTTGTTAAGTCAACTCTGACTCCTTAACATCCATTTTCCCTAGGTTTTGCTGGCACACCCGGATATCTTTCTCCAGAAGTTTTACGTAAAGATCCTTATGGAAAACCAGTGGATATGTGGGCATGCGGTAAGGAATCATCTATCTTTCTTTCCTTCCCTTCCCTTCCCTCCCCTCCCCTCCCCTTCCCCCCCCCCCCCCCCCCGTTAGTTCGTTCTTTCTTTCTTTCTTTCTTTCTTTCTTTCTTTCTTTCTTTCTTTCATTTGTTATTTAATTAGGTTCTTTGTAAGAAATTTAGAACACCAATTTGTGAGGGTAAACTCCATTTGTGAGAGCAAACACAGAGCAGAGGTAGACCTGAAGCTGAGGACCGGCTTTGATTTTTGGTGGAATTTGCGAGTCCACAGCTTTCTGATCAACCTTGCACTGCTCTGTAATCTCATATTTTTCTTTCTCTGTGTTGAAGACCTCACCTTCCTGGCGTCTGGGTTTACGCAGCTTCTTCTTAAAGTAAACATCAGTGAGGTGTTTGGGGATTTTCACACTGCTATCAATTTTGGTGGAGGTGGCAATGACAAATTTCTGGTGTGTTCTATACAGAGGAGCTCAATTAAGAGACAGAGGTCCAGTCACAAGTAGCAAGCCACTGCTCAGTTGCTTCAGGAAAACCACTCTCTTGCCTCTGTGGCACCCAGTGAGGATGATCAAAATGGCCCTAGGAGTGATGCTAGCTCGCAGTTTCTTCACATGCTGACTGAAAGGATTTTTGCCATGGCTCAACAGCTTCTGAGGCACATCTTCGGTAGGATAATACCTAGGCATTTTGTGAAGTTTAACCACTCGGGTACCACCATTCTTATCACCACCAACTGGTTTTTGTGACAGTAGCAAGAACCTTCTCCTTTTTCTTTTCAATTCTGGATTTAGCTGCTGAATACTTCGCTTGTACATGGCCTTAGTCAAATACATAGCCGATCGGGAATATCTGCCAATTCCTCTGACTAGGACAGGGTTTCGGCTGCAGTGGGGCTTCTTCTTCTTTGGAGTTTTAGCCTTGAGGTTACCCTTCTTAATCTTGCCACCAGCATCAGCCTTCTTGGCTTCAGGTTTCTTCTCCGTCGTATCCGGCTTCTCAGCTTTTTCGCCCACCATCTTGCAAGATGGGAAAGAGCAGGAATCATATTTCTATGCAAATTTTACAGTATACCAGTATTATAATTAATGATAGGATCCTTTAAATTGGAAGTTGATGCTCTCTAATGATCAACTTAGGGTAGTAGTTCTCAAACTTCAGCCTACCGCAGGTCACGTGGAGGGCTGGTTAAAGCACAGACTGCCACTTCTGAATCAGTTGGTCTTGGGTAGGAGCATGTGTGTTTTTAGCAAGTGCCCAGGCGATGTTAGTGTTTCCAGGTCTGGAAGCACCTTGAGACCAGGGACACAGTATCACCTGGAGTGGCCATGCTTTTATGCTGCTGTCCTTCCACCTCATCCAAGCAGCCCTTTCAACAAATGCCACGTCTGCACAACATGGTTGGCGGGGACTAAAAGGGGAAAAGTGAATCTTGGAAAAGAAAGCAATTAGTCTGTTCTGTGGACTGAACTCTGCTTTAGGCCTTTATCAACCAACTCTAATCAAATAAGTATCCTGTGCAGGCTCAAAGCCATATAATATGGAGGATTCCCACCACAATTTTTAAACGGAATTTCTGTGTGTTCTGTACACTGCGAATAGGTGAAAGACTAAAATAAAAAGGATACTATAGAATACTTTGAAATATTTTTCAACTGGGGTCATTGACACAAACTAGTTTTCTAGGTTCCTGACACTGTGTCATTGCTACCAATCTAAATCGTGTGGCTTTAGTGTGCCGCAGACAGATTTTGTTGCCTTTGGTGTTTGTAAGCCTGGAAGGATTTGTTTAAAAAAATGATTATGAAAATAACTTTTTAGATTTGGTTTCATGGAAAAAAATAATAAATTCATCACCATTACTTTGTAGTGCTAGGTTATCCCACACTATATATCTTGTCAGCTTGATCTCATTAGCAATAGCAACTTGGTGTTTGATCTGAAACTGGATGCCTCTTGGACCTTTAGACTTACCTCCATGCCCAGGAAAGCAGTTATGGGAGGAGCACTATATCTCCAGTCACAACGCCTGTGTTAAGGTCTTTACTTTGCACTTACCCTATCTCTAGTATCTCTGAGTTGGTTTCTGTATCTATCAAACAGGAAATATTACCCTTGTAGAATTGCATGGGGGTCAAATAAAGACATTTTATAGTTTGTAAAGAAATTTAAAATGCAAACAGCTATTACTCTAAAAGGTTGGATTGTCATTTAATTAAAGGGTGAGGTCTTGGGTGTCTGCTCTGTTCCCAAGCTCTGTCTTCCTTCTGCCTACCTGAGAGTATCTTCGAAGTATGAACTTGATGTCTTTGGGTTAGAGCATTGTCACAGAACATCCTTGTTCAAATCTAAATGCTAATGGCAGATAACTCACATATTTCCCTTGCAACATAACACCTTTCGTCACAGATCTGTCATTGCTGATGAATTTAAAAAGCAGCAAAGAGTGTCCTGAGAGGCAGGCAGATCTAGATGGGTTTTATGGAGGAGGGAGCTGATGGGAGTGTAGCCAGAGTTCTGCACTCAGACCCTGAACACTAGTGGGCTAGTGTAGTGGAGACTGATCAGTAGCTGGGGCAAGGCACTCAAGAGTCTTTTTGCTGCCTTCATGAGAAGGTCACCTCTAGCCTCCCTTCACCTCCCTTTTTCTCCATCCCTTCTTGTTTTCCTCTTTCTCTTCCTCCTTCCCACCCACCCCACAGGTGGGAGGCAGTATGTACACTGGTTGAGAGCACCCACTCACTCAGCTCTTTGATGCGCTTGCTGTAGAACCTGGCACAAATTTTATAGTCTTGGTATCTCAGCTTCCTTGTATAAAACAGAAAGTAAGAAAGTGTTTCTTTTTTTTTTTTTTTTCAACGTTTATTTATTTTTGGGACAGTGAGAGACAGAGCATGAACGGGGGAGGGGCAGAGAGAGAGGGAGACAGAATCGGAAACAGGGTCCAGGCTCTGAGCCATCAGCGCAGAGCCTGACGCGGGGCTCGAACTCACGGACCGCGAGATCGTGACCTGGCTGAAGTCGGACGCTTAACCGACTGTGCCACCCGGGCGCCCCAAGAAAGTGTTTCTTTTTAAATGAAGTTTCAAGATAACTGATAAGTAGATATGTGAGAGAGAGACTTATGCAGATTATTAGATGACTCAGCATTATTGTTTTGATCAGCAGTTGAATAATATGATAACTTCATCTGGTTACCTGAATACCGAATACCTCTCTCCCTTTGCTTTCTTTCTTCTCCTTTAAATTATTCTTTTGCAGGCCTTTGATTCTGCCAAAGATGCTATTGTAGACCAGTTTCACAGCTCATGAATCCTATTCATTCAGACAATTTAAATAAATCAATTATTTAGTCCTTGCATTAAAAACATTTTTTTGACAATGTATCAATTTTATTTGTGTTTAAGAATGTCAGGTTATTTAAAAGAAACCCCCCCAAAAAACCTGGTATTTTGTATTAGGGATTCTTTTCCTGGCTGGGGAGCAGAATCAGTGATGAAACTTATGTGTGTATGTGTGTATATGTATGTATATGTATATATGTATCCAGCCCCTACATAGGCCCTCTGCTTTAGTGGCTCTGAGTGGCAGCTACATTTTTTAATAACTATGACATATCATCGGGGTTTAGACTCACTGTCTTAGACTTACTAAATACACTATGCTCAATTTTAATATTGCTTTGGTAAAGTTGAGTATATCTGGCTTTTGAATTTTTTGTTTGAATGCATTGTTTATATAGCTAATCTTTTAAAATAATAGTATATCTTGTAATAATAGGATTTCACATCTGGTAAATGCAAGGTAACTCATAGAGTAGAAGCTCTAACTCTCTTGGCTGGACAAGGGGAAAAAGATGGGTGAAGAGTAGCTTCCCTTCTTACTGTGTGAGCTATGTAACATTCTTAAAAAGTTAAGTAGGGGCATCTGAGTGGCTCAGTTGGTTAAGCATCTGGCTCTTGATCTCAGCTCAGGTCATGATCTCATGATTTGTGGGATCAATCCTTGTGTCAGGCTCTGCACTGGCAGCATAGAGACTGCTTGGGATTCTCTCTCTCAAAATAAATAAATACACTTTTTTTTTTAAGTGCATGTAAATAGCAGATAGTGTATGTATGCCTGCAGATGTATATGCACATACACACAGATCTCATAATGACTATAGAAACTTAGAGCCATAGGGCGTCTCACAGATTTCAACCTGAGTTTTGCCATGGGCAGAACCACCTTTCACTTTGCTCGGTTTTATCCTTACCTTTGCTTTCTTCACACAGTTTTCTACAAACAAATAGTTAAATCCCTTTGTGACAAGCAATGCTCTATTTAGAGCATATATTTCCTAACAGTTCCCATTTTGCATAGAGATAGTGATATATTTTTAAATCGTGTGCCTTAAAATGCATTTGGGATCACATAGGTAACTATGGAAATGTCTTAGATATTCTAATATCACAATAATGCCCCACCTCCTTCCACAAACATCATAATGCCTTTTGTTACATTTCTGGATCACTGCAGTGGGTTTGGAACACTGTCTTAACTATTTTAGTCTATTTTCACTTCACTAAGGTAACATGAAAGTTACATTAAATTCTCTTACATTTGTAAGACAGTCTACCCTTTCTCATCCTCAAGGTAATAAGCACCAAGGGAATGTACACATATTCAGTTGCTTTTAGATTATGACCTATCTTGAGAGAAACTCTTTTTTTAGCCATCCATCAGCACTAGCACCTGCCTATTGAATAACTACTTCTTTTCAAGGCTAGACATTGTAGAGTGGGGTAGGAAATGACACTACCCAGATAATAAAAGAAATGTAGAATAAGACATTTAGCAGAATAGCAGCTAACCTTCTGTGAATTAAGCTATGAGCATGCACTACAGCAGATTGTCTTTATAGCAGTTGACATAGAGCAGAGTGAAGCACAGTATTGGTATAATAGATAAAAGAAGTCTGTACATCATTTTTATTAGAAATATGCAATTATCCATACATAGGACATTTCAAATACCACCATTACCTTGCTTTTGAGACCTCACACAGAATGTAGTCTGACCTGCACTTAGTCTTTCAAAGCAACTAGTCTTTTATTGAAAAGCAAATAATGGACGTTAGTGAAACAAGAACACTCCCCTGAGTTCTACCTTAACAACAGTAAATTGATTTTGATGGCTTTCTTGCATATATAGCTGTTTCCATAATTCCCCAAAGGAATGAACAGATGTTGTTTATAGATGTCACTGAATCACTGGATTTTAACAGAACTTGCTTCTACATTTTGGCTCAAATGTAAGCCCATATAAACCTAGCCAACACATACATATGCGCGTGCGCGCACACACACACACACGCACGCACACACACACACACACTCTTGTCTTACTACGTCTCTGTCTGAATTAGATATCAGAACAGTTATGAGTGATAATAAATTAGTGACTATCACAGAATATACCATGACTTTTGATGAGCCTTTGGAATATTATGGAATATATTAAGAAGCATGGTCACTAAGTTCAGCATTTGTGTGATTACTGGGCCTCAGAGCATATATTTGCTAAGGGTTCCCATTTCCTTAGAGATTGTGTTGCTGTTTTTTTTTTTCTTTTATTTCACTGGAATAAATCAGCATCAAGCACTTTTTAAGAAAGTATTTACAATTTTGAAATCTCAAGCAGTTTGTTGGTATGATTACCTTACACTGGTCAACTTTGTTGCTTATGATTACCAGTTCCGTGATTACCTTACACTTGGCCATCACAGATATGCCTCACAATTACAAGGCTCTGTTGCCTTCATCCTTTATGACCTATATCCTCGTTAGTCTTCTATCCATGGAGCTTTACTCCTAATTATAGCCCCTACCAATATTGTCTTACTTTGAACTTACCTATTCTCTTAGATTTCTCAAGACACAGTGTTATGGTGTCCCTAACTGATGTTTTAGAAACATGGACCCATGTTTCAAAGTGACCTGAGTACTTACCAGATTCAATTTTCTGGAATGCACCAGAGAATCACTGAATAAGATTCTTCGTGGTGAGGCTCAGGAATGTGCATTTTATCAGGCTTGCTAGGTTATTCTAGTGCACACCAACATCGAACAGCATCATGCTAGCTAGTTGCAGTTTTCTTTAGGGCAGCAAATTTTAGGATTCTTACACAATATAGCAAAGGTTGCAAACAGGTGGTTCACAGATGTTTTGCCCAGATTGCTGAACCTTTTACTTTGGGAGGGGGGGAGTTGACATTTATTATTTATCTTTATAATTTATTATCAGGAAATTTCACTAAAGCAATTGAGAGAACTAATAACAAGATACTTTTGCTCTTAAATAACAGCTGTACCTGTCAAGTGATGGACACATGCTCTCCCCTGGTTACCCGCCTGCCCCATACACAGTGTGGACACAGGCATTCATCTCTTCCTGGTGCTGGAAGACCTGTTTGCCACCCCTACTATATGGCATAGTTACCATCATCTGGAAAACAACTTCCTATCTTGCTGGCCTTGATCTTCTAGATCTTTGTTCTTCCCATAATTGTCTCTTTAGGTCAGAGTTAGTTAAACACTTTTTCCTTTTTGAATTGCATGGTGATTTTTTTTTGCATAAGGTATTGCAATATAAAAGGGAGCCATACTTATTCTTTGTATAGTTAACTGTACATTTCCAAACTCCACTCACAGTATGCCCTTTATTTAGTGAGAGTATTAAGTGGATGTCTTGTTAGATTGTTCCATTAACTCCCCACTGACTTTTTGGAGTTTTTGAACATTGCTTTTTTCTCTCTCCTTTCATCAGAGCAGCGACTAGAATGTTTTAATCATTAATGTTATTATAGGTTTAATCATTTTTCTAACTCCAGCTTTTATTAACATTATTTTTGAATGTTCTTGATAATGTAATCTTTATACCTAATCAGTAATCAGTGCTTCTCAACTCTTATTAATCAAATATCTCTAGCATTGCCCAAGCTCAAATGACAGTGAAAACTAGTTCAACTTCCACTTTTATTTTTTTTTTATTTTTTTTTTTTATTTTTTTTTTTCAACGTTTATTTATTTTTGGGACAGAGAGAGACAGAGCATGAACGGGGGAGGGGCAGAGAGAGAGGGAGACACAGAATCAGAAACAGGCTCCAAGCTCTGAGCCATCAGCCCAGAGCCCGATGTGGGGCTCGAACTCCCGGACCGCGAGATCGTGACCTGGCTGAAGTCGGACGCTTAACCGACTGCGCCACCCAGGCGCCCCCAACTTCCACTTTTAAATGTTATATGAAGCTGTGTCAAAATAGTTGTTTTAACTTTTTATTTTGGAAATTTCGAAGTATACAAAAGTAGAATAATATAATTAAATGACAGGTAATCCTATTTCATCTACACCACCCAACTCATCCCTCCTCCCCAAGATTATTTTAGTCAAATATAAATATAATATCAGTATATCTATACATACCATAATATGTGTCTCTAAAAGAAAAGGGTTCTTTTAAAAGAATGACAATAATAACAGTACTTTAAAATTTAATATAATTACTGCTTAAAACCATCAAATAACTAGTAATTTTTTTGGCAGTTTGCCCTCTTGTCTCATAATTTTATTATTAGTTTGCTGTCTTAGGTCCCCCCCCTTTTTTCTGTGAAGTTTATTTTTGAGAGAGAGAGTGCACACGAGGGGGAAAGGGCAGGGAGAGAGAGAATTCCCAAGCATGCTCCACACTGACAGCACAGAGCCTGATGTAAGGCTGGAACTCACAAACCATGAGATCATGGCCTGAGCCAAAATCAGGAGTTGAACACTCAAGTGGCTGAGCCACCCAGGGGCCCCTCTTAGGTCTCTTTTAATTTGTAATTTCTGCTTCTCTATCTTTCCTCCTCCTCACCCCCCTTCTCATTTCTCCATTTATTTGTTGAAGAAACCTGCAGTTCCCACAGAGCACCCCTACAGAGTACCTGATATTGGTCTCTACATAATGTTTACCATGGTAAGGAACCATGATTCCTTGTGAAAGGAACTAATTCCAAGTCTAGGTTAGGAAAAGCACAAGATGATACAGGTGCATCTTGTTATAGCAGAAAGACAGAAAACTGTTAAAGACCACAGACTTTTTTTTTTTTTTTTTTTGCAAGAACATATCAGGGATGATATGACCTCCAAAGGTTGGATGTGTCTCATGATGTTAGTAGCTTCTGATGATCTCTACCTAGATACGAACAGGACTCAGGAGCCAACTTGAAGAGATGACTTCTAGTTAAAGATAGGACAATTAAAAGTTAAATGAGAAAAATAACAGTAATAGATTGAAACACATCAAGTTTAAATCCATGCATTCATGACAATAATCAAACTGCAGTAGCAATCCTAACCTTGGATTAGGGGATTAATTAATGGGGAACCAATGTATTTCAAAATTATTTCGAATTATTTCGAATTATTTCAAAAACCAATTCATAAAGGAGGAAACAAAAGTCTGTTACTTTACCTATCCTGTATGAACCTGACAACAAGGTCACCAAATAATTGATGAAATAAGTTGTTCTTAGACTAAAGAAGGTATAATAGAATTGAAATATCTTTTTTTGTAACCCCTAATGAAATATCTAGGTAGAAATCATTAAAGGCCAATAATATCCTAAGAAACATTCAAATTTTGGAGATTATATCTTCATCCCTGAAGTGCTCTCGAAAAAAAAAAGAAAAAAAAAATGAAGATTTTGACCAGCTTTTAAAGATTTTACTGACTTAGTTTTAGGGCAAGAAAAGAAACTCTATTTTTTTTTTTCATTTTTTTTTTCTCTGACCTAGGAGAGGAAGGTAAAATATTAGGGTTATAAATTAAGCTTACAAGAAAAAAGTAAAATGGAATGGGGCAAAGACTCTCAGTTAGACAATAAAAACTTTAATAAAGTGCATAGCTAAAGGAAAAAGTGGCTGCAGGGAACATTTAAGACAGTACCAAAGTGAAACCTTACTAGTGGTCAAGGCCTTTCAATTACAGAACACAAACAATTTAAAATTTAAAATGCATTTGTCTTCATAGATGAAGAAAAGGTAGCTCTAGCCTGCTTGTGGCTGAAACAGTTATTTCATATAAGTTCTCAAACCATTTCCTCATCTGTAAAATGGAGACAATAACATTTATCTACCTCAGCATTGTACAGGGAGTAAATAAGGTAATGCACTAATGCAGATGTAGCTACTCAAAAAATGTTACCTACAATAAAATGTATTATTATACCATGACTCTTATAGTTATTCTATACTTACAGAAAATAGAACTCCAAAACATGTAATTCAGGAAGGCCTCAGACTCCAATCTAATGAGCAAATCAAAATAAGCTTACAAACCAGTATTTATTTAAATAGGCATTGAGAAGTAAACATCAGTGTAAATAGTGCTCATGTATTTTTTTTCTTTAAATCTTCTGGCCTGAATGTTTTTAAATCTTTTATATTTGTGTTATTGTTTTAGTAAAGAAAATTTTTTGGTAGAAACTCCTCAATCAAGCAATTAAATTGTGGGCATTTATCTATGTAGTGGTTGCCATTTCTTGGGGAACGAGGTATCTATGAACCTTCCCCTTTGTAGAGACATACCACATCAGTGCCAGCCAGCAGGACTGCAGGACAAAACCTCTGAAGCAGGCCAGCCTTGCAACCTACCCTAGGTTCAGAGTGCTAAATGTCTCAGTTGTCTCTGTTTTATAACTTCATAACAGCCTACTTCAAATGTTTATTAGAAAAATGTCGAATTAAAAAATTAATATCAACTATTGCCATTACAGAGCTAATTTTCTTTGGGGCACCTGCGTGCCTCAGTCAGTTCAGGGTCCAGCTTCATCTCAGGCCATGATCTCAAGGTTCATGAGTTCAAGCCCACATCAG